TGATATTTATCGCATAATTAGAAGATATGAAAAATCACAGATTTGAATAAATCATTAGGGATTGAACAAAATAAGGCACTTGCATTAAGAACTCGTGGCAAGGCTTATCATGTGATGAGCAAGAATTCTTGAAGATACTTATCGCATGATAAACAGATATGAAGTATCATCTGCAGATTTAAATAAACCATCAGAAATTGAGCAAAAAAAAAAAACATCAGAAGCATCAAAAATTCATGGCGGCATTTATCATTATCGCATAATGAAAATTTATGAAAGATCACTTACAGATTGAATAAATCATTAGAAATTGAACAATATAACGCATTTGTATTGAGAATTCGTGGCAATACTTATCGTATGGATTCGTGAAGATACTTATCATATGATGAAAAGAGATGAATCACTTGCCGAAATCGAACCGAGAGTGTATACGATGCAGAGATGTATCGAATCCTGTATAATTGGCTTGCAAAGGTGCATAACTATGAAATCATGGGACAATGGCACCTAGAAGAAGTTCGTGATGATGGCAAGTATCATCATCTCTCTGTAATAAAGAAAGATGATGATGATAAACCTGTAGCAATTTTAGAACTTTTGTTAATAACATTCTCACCAAAATTAAACAAGCACTACGAGCAAGTGTTAAAATATGCTCAACAACTCTGCCCATTAGAGGTATGGGTTGTGCATTTTTCACATGAGGATGATATTGCCAAAAGATCCTATTGGCCATGTGAGGAGTTACAAAAGAAGGGAATAGATGTTGTGCATTTTTGGCATGACAAAGTCTTTTCTAATATTCGACTAACTTATCAGGCTTTAGATAACTTCGGTGGCTTTAAAGAAGTCACTAACAAACAAGTTCTTCCTTGAACTATATTTTTAAGCATCTAAACAAATAAATTGCTATAATTGCTATTATTAATATCAAGATGGATCTCTTCACTTTGTTTAAAATCTTGATTACTTTTATAATTTTTGCACTCGGAAATAATTTCTCTCGTATCAATAAGTTTAGAAGTATATATGATATTTTCATGTTATTGTGTAATAATTGGCTTTTCTTTGTTTAATTTATCTGCTAAAAATTTCTGCTTGATCAAATCATAATGATTATCAAAACTTCCATTATCATTATTATTGGTGACTATCCCTTAAACCATCCGGTTTAGCAGACAAATTTGTCTGCTAAAATAATTGGACGAAAATATTATATTTAAAAAAAAAATTTTAATGAAAATCTTTATTCTAATCAGCTATTGCAATTCCCAAAGACTTGATCCACACATCACACTTAACAGCCGCAGTGTGATATACTCTAATTGATTCAATTGAAAAGCATAAGTTCACACAACGGCTGTAAAATGTGTCATTTAACCTATGTTTTCAGGTCACTTTATTTTCCCAGCATTACT